AATTTATCGTATCTTATTTGTATTTATGTATTTAATTTAGTGTGTGTGTGTGTATGTGTGTGTGTGTGTGTGTGTGCACATGTATGGACACAAAGGATGCACCACACGTGTATGGGGAGGAAAGAAGACAGCTTACAGGAGTCAGTCCTTTTCTTCCATCATCTGGGTCCTGGGCATCAAACTCAAGTCCTAACACCTGGTGGCATGTGCCCTTACCCACCCTATTTTTATTGTTTTTTTTTTTTTTTAGTACATAATCATGAACAAATATTACAGACCTTTCAGGAACAAAATATAATGATACAAAAATATGTGTCCTAAAGTCCTTATAACTTTGTTACCTTTAAACAACACAAAAAATAAATATATGTATATGCAATGTCTATACATACATGTATATATATTTGTTGCTGAGAGGGCAAACTGAAGTTAAAAAGCATAACACATATAAAACTGTTGTGAGATATGCCATATTATGTAATTGCCTGAACAAACATAGCCTGATCCCTTGTCATGGTTAGAATCAAGAGTGAGCCTGATCTCTTCTCAGACAGTGTTCTGAGTTCTTGAAACTGGTAGTCTAAACAAAGGACTTTTTGTCTTCAAGCAGTACATTCACCTTGATATGGGAAAAGGAATGAGGAACTCTGTCTTATCAGAGAAGGATTCTCTCTTTCTGAGCCCCTACAGACCTAGAATAGCATACATAACCACAAACATATCAGTCTAATTCCACCTGTTGTTTGTAGCACAAACTGTGGATAATTCCATGATTTCGGCAATGATATTTTCACAACTTACACACATACATTATTCGTGCTTGATTCTAGTCCGCATTGCTTTTGCTTGATGTAAAATCAGATCAAAAAATCATTCACCCAACAAACCTGTGATTGCCTCTTATGCACCAGGAATTCTACTAGGAGGGAATTAGAATCACTAGGGCAAATATCAAGATAGATTTTTAAAATTATTTATCTAATAACAACATACTTAAAAGAGCATTTCATTTCAACAGCATTGACATATTCAATAACAATTTCCTGAGCTAAGATGCATCTCTTTCAGAATTAGTTGTAAATTTTTAGGTTTACAGTTGAATTGTTACAGATATACAATATTGTACTCAGTAAAAACCTTATAAGACATAAAATTAAATGATGTTTTAACCTTTAAAAAAAGATCTCAATTTCATTATTAAAATGGAGTTTCATACAGAAAAATTCATTTTTAATGCAATTGACATTAATATGTTTGCACATGCATTTCTAATCTCTGTATATCTGATTATTACTAGTCACAGTTGGTTACTTTCTGAGCTCCTTGGCATCTGAGCATGGATATAAAGTAGTCAGGTAGATTTCAGTGGTAATGTTTTTCACATCTACTAATTATTAAGGAGGAAATTTTTATGCTTTGAAGAATTATTTTTTTAATTTTAAATAACTACATGATTAGAAGAAGCATTTCGCTACAGCTTCAACATATTCAGTAACACAGTCCAGAGCAAGAGTACATCTCTTTCACAAGTGGGTGCAAGTTTCTAGGTTCACAGTTGAATTAATACAGTTATACAGTATTAAACTTAGTATAAACCCTGAAAGACATTAAATTGAATGAGGTTTTAACCTTTAAAATAAGATCTCCATTTCATTTTAGAATATATTGTTCCTTGCAGACTCATTGTTATTGCTACTAACACTGAGGTGTTGGCATATGCATCTCTAATCTGTATGTATCTGATTATTACTAGTCATAATCAGTTGCACTTGGATCTTTGGCACCTGCATATATCTATGAAGTCATCAGGTGGAGTTCAATGGTAATGTTTATCACCTCTACTAATTAGCATGACATAAATTTCCATGCTTCCTCCTCAAATATAATACATTTAAAAATT